TTGGCATTAGCGCAGAAATCACAGAAAGCCCTTCCATCTCTACAGGAAAGCCAGGGATACATGTTGACCCACTCCGTTTTCCATTTCCTATCTTTTCACTTTCGTTGTGAATCGTGGCTAACATGCTGCTCGACTTCCTTATCATCCCCCACGTCCATCCCTTTCCCTTTGCTTGGACTAGGCGATGGTCTAAGGTAATTTTCCTCTTCCTGGGCATCCTAAGTGAAACGAATATATGACCTTCATTTAGGCCTAGGCTGTTCCTACCTTATATTCTGTGACACTAGGCTTATTTTCAGGAACGCCTGAACGTATGCAAACGGTAATTCGAAAATACTAACATCATTAGCTTTCCGCTTGAAACCAAAAGAGAAGAGCGTAGTTCTGGAGCTGCCTGAGGCCATAGTTAAAAGAAACGGAAGTACGTCAATGAGCACGTGATCACAACTTAGGTTGCGCTCCTCACTTTTCACGTACGCACACCTCGGAAATTTCTTTGCTTCCCTAGCAATAACACAGTCTCTTACACACGGTGACTATTTAGGCACGTTTCAAAAAAGGAAACTGCCAACAGGTCTGAAAATCGGCTTGAGTAAACAAATTCCTCGTGCGTCCTGGGGACTCCGGTGTTTTTCTTTTGTGCGTCCCGTTGGAATTTTGTGCGTATAGGACGCACATTTGCGGGTAAACGCAACCCCTGTACAGAGATGAACCATTATATTGAAAACTTTGTGGCTGACATGGTTAGAATGGCCAATTCTACCTGTGAGAGACATGGTGAAGGGTAATGTGCCCTTTTCAAATTTCAATATAATCCCTACAACTTGCCTGATCCTGTGCATAGGAGTCAACACAAGATGGCCCTTGAATAGCTGCAACAAGGTCTTGAGCAGCTTTCCTCCCAACATCTGCTGGCTGGATCTGACGCTTCCCAAGCCCTGAACTCCCAAGAATGCATCCCGTTGTTGTCTCAGCCCAGATGCTTTCCAAGACAACCCAAAAATCAAATGTGGTATTTCAGCTTCTCACTCTGCCAAAGCAAATGATTTTGCCTAGCTACACATTCCATGACCTCATTTGTCCTCAAAGATAACAGATTCAGATGTTAAAAAAAATCTAAACTAGCTCTAAAGAGCATCAGATGGACATTTCTGACATGAAATGTGTTAGTCTCTCTTCATAAGTAAGGGTGGAGGACAATCATCTCACTTTATGCCAGATCCATTCCCAAATGCATCAGAGGGCTTCTCCTTGTATCTCTTGATTTCAATACTGGTAGAAGAGAGTGCCAAAGAGTTTTTCAACTCAAGCTCAGCTGCATCTGCCATCTGATGAGCCATCTGAAATTAAAATTCTAAATCATTACATTGATAAGTCTAAGATGAAAGCTTCAGCATAATAAAAGCAAACAGCTATCCTCCTTTACCTACAGTCTTGTCAGCTGATAAGATCACCAGGATATCACCACTGTACCAAAATAACTAATGTTGATATTGAAGAGCATTCACTCAATATAAACCCAACAGTGCATCTTCTCTGATATTTCTAAAAATCAAATCTCACTTCTCCCTTTTGGAGAGTGACTTGACTGAAATGGATGCCATCCAGGACAAAATGGTCACAGCAATCTTCAAGTCAAAACAAAAGGGCCTCAGAGTTCTCCATTGGTAAAAACAGCCAGACCAATTATATGCCTTCCAGCCTAGTCTAAAAAAGGTCAATCAAGTTGATGACTCCTGTACCTTAATGGGAAGCACTCCTGCCACAAATGCTCGACCCCTGATAGAAGAAACACTGCCCGGTTCTGTGAGATCCACTCCTTGGAATCCTTTGGAAGGCTTCACATCCACTTGAATCTCTCCTCCACCCTTTGGATAATACCCTCTAATGAAGGAAAAGAAAGTCAGTCTTGAGCACCTCATGTTCTTTGAGATGAGATGACTGCAAAACTATGGGTAATAAGAATGATCAACAAAAGTGCTGATCACCAAATGTGGAGAATATCACAGAATAACCAACTGATAACTCAGTGAATGTGAAGTCTCACATATGAACCCTACAGTCACTAAGACAGCTCCATCTGAGACCATACAGGGTGACTCAAAAGTCCTTGGACACCTTTAATCAAGTGTAGCATTCTCTGATGAAGACCAATTCAATTTCTGATTTGACCAGTGCAAAGATCACAAAAAACTAAACCAACCATGTTTTTATGTTTAAAAAATATCACCATTTGAGGCAATAACCTGCTTCAAACGTTTTGGGAAATCATTTACAGTTCTTCACAACTGATCAATCGACAATTCATTCCATTCCTTCAGCAGATCAAGTTTCAAGCTATTGATACTCTTGTGTGGCTTGCAGCAGACCTTGGCCTGCAAGTAGGACCACACACTGTAATTCAATGGATTCAAATCAGGACTACAAGCAGGCCATTCTTCTGGGGAAATCAAGTC